GCTTCCCTGCAGACACCTAAATCTACAGGTGCTGAAGTCCCTGATATAAAATGGTGTAGTATTTGCATACAATGCAAGTATATGTTCCTCTTTTGATTTATTTATTTATTTGACCCAGAATCTCACTCTTATCCAGGCTGAAGTGCAGTGGCATGATTTTGGCTCACTGTAACCTCCACCTCCCAGGTTCAAGAGATTCTCGTGACTCAGCCTCCAAGTAGCTGGGATTATAGGTATTCGCCACCACTCCCAGCTGATTTTTGTATTTTTAGTAGAGACAGGTTTTAATCATGTTGCCCAGGCTGGTTCCAAACTCCTGACCTCAAGTGATCTGCCCACCCCGGACTCCCAACGTGCTGGGATTACAGGTGTGAGCCACTGCTCCCTGCGTGAAATATTTTCAATACACGCATAACCTGGCTTGTAGTCCCAGCTACTCAGGAGGCTGAGGCATGAGAATCGCTTGAGCTCGGGAGGTGGAGTTTCCAGTGAGTGGAGATCATGCCATTGGATCTACAGATGCGGAAATTCTGGTCAGAGAGCACAAATTGTGGATACATAGCTCCTACCCCAAAACAGAAGGAGCAAAAAGAAAGAAAAAAAAATGGACGAGAGCGACTATGAGGGAACTGAGAGGGTTATGATCATTCCATTTGCTGAAAGAAAAATTCAAAGACAGAATCACACACAGTTGACCAAAATGGATAAAACAAGTCTACTGGGGTGGGCAGCGGTGGTGCCCTGGGAGGCGAGAGAGACGGAGATGGTGTTGGTTTCAGACAAGATAGTTGCACAGGAACTCGATAGGGAAAAGGGGAATGGGTTGTGGGGACCAGGGGAGCTGGAATTCTGCCTGGGGAATCAGCCAGTGCCAACGGGTGAACCAGGGGAGGGCAGGTGTAGGGTACAGCCCTATGGGGCTCTGTGAGCCCCTCCCTGCTGGTTTGAAGACAAGAAATTGTAGAAATAAAAGGCACAAGACATGGAGATTGAGAAAAGAGAGTTTGGGCCCAGGGGTCCACAGCTACTCAGATCGTGGAGACCAGCAGTGGCCCCAAATGCTGGGACGCCCTGACTTTTATTGCAAATCTGGGGGCAGGGAAGGTAGGGCATAGGTAGGGCGTGGTCCTGGTGGTGGGTGACTGGGGACAGGGCAAAATAGGGCATGGCATACAGGTGGGGGCTCAGGAATTGATGGCACCCCAAGTGAGGTAAGGAGCATAATGCATCAGCACCTTTCCCATACTTACCAAGAAAGAACTAAAGCATTAAGGTTTGTGCTACTATTACTGATTATCTTTTCTAAGAAAAGGGGAACCAGGTGCAGAAGCAGAGCATGAGTAGCCATGGAACATGACCCCTGAAGCACAGCACCACACAGGGACAATTAAGTCCCGGGATGTCCGCGGGCCTCCCTGACAGCGGTCAGGCTTACCACGAGAGCTTGGAGAAGCGGAGTTTTCTCCTCACTCCCTTGAGGAAGGAGACGTCTTGGCCATCTTGGACATCTCCTTCCCTGGCTGGCTAAACAGCAGGTGCTTTCACAGCGCTGACACTGTCGCACAGCTGAGGCACCCCTTTTTGCAGGCGTGACAGAGGACATAAAGCATCTTGCCTTAGGGTCATTCATTCCACGATGTCACCCCAGGTTCACACTTCCAACCTGAGAGGCATTAGTAAAAGAATTAAGATCACCTATAAATAACTAAGATTGCATATGAGTAACTACTAACTACGAACTACTGTTCATTTCTAGTTACTTTCTTCTTCATTATATATAGGGAGATAGGCTGAGGCCTTCTGCTCCTGCCTCCGCAGTTATGGGGTCTTTTCCCTACAGGCAGGGGGTTAGGAGCCTGCCTATGGTGATGCTGAAGCCCCGGGGCGGGTGCCTAGTTGAAGGGCCAAGAGGAGCCGTCAGGAGAGAAGGAAAAGCCCCGAGTCTCCTTCAGGCTTGTTTCAGGACTCGGGGCAGGATAGGAGATGATGGTGGAGGATTCTGAGCAGGGGACGGCCTGGGTGGGAGCGGGACAGAAGGAGAGCTGGACAGGGACGGGGTGACAGGCGCAGGAGGGAGCAGAGGGAAAAGGGGCGTGCAAAGGTACAGAGCAGGAGCAACGGGGACATCCAGGGAAGGAGGGAAGTGCAGGGCATTGTGAGACGGGGCACCCTGAGAGAGGGGTCCAGGCAGCAGGAAGACACCACAGCCTGAGCTATACCCCAGCTCACGGTCAGCCCTGGGAGGGCTTTGAGCAGAAGAGGGGCGAGAGCCCACACCTTGAGGCCACCTGCCGCGGTCCTGGGCCCTGCACATGCCTCCTACAGGCTGGGCGGCTGCCCACGAGGTCATTTAATGCCTGGTGCCTGCGGGCATCCTGCCAAGAGCCCGTTGGCATCGGCATCGCAATGCTGTCCTCCAAAACCTGCCCCAGTGTCCCCAACGCAGACCTGCTGTGAAGGGGACCTCTGGAGAGGACGCGTTAGCAATGCCGTGTGCTCTGCCCACAGGTTATTTCAATGATGGGGACCGCAATGACTGACCCCAGGCCACCTGCAGGTAGGTGCTGAGCCTCCCCAGGAGGGACACGTGGATTTGCTCAGAGAGGGCGGTGAGAGGCCTGAGGTTGGGGAGAGAGGGACGCCCAGTCCAGGGGCAAAGTTGGTCACGGGTGGACGATAGGCTGATGCAGGGGCTGACGCAGAAGGCCCCGTGGCTGCATCAGTGGCGTCGCGGTCTGGGCATCTGTCTGCCTCTCCAGGCTGGTGACGGGATGGAAACAAAATGAACAGATTCAACTGGAGGCTCCATGGACACACGTGTGGGCATTTCTGCTCAGACTCCACATGTGCAAGTGTGACCGTCTGTGCCTCGACACAGCTTCATGCACATGCGTGCTTAGCCCCCTCCATCAGTGTGTACACGAATGTTCCACGTCCGTATCTGTGTCTCTATATGCTTTCAAATATACATAAACACATTTACATATGCATGGATGTGGGTTTTTATGTTTTTATATATTTCTGACTTACATGCTTGTATATCTTTATACATGTATATGTTTTATATTTGTGTATGTCTGTATATTTATATACCAATATAGGCTTTTGTATATAATTATGTATCTATATGTATATTTTTTAATATATCTTTATATATTTTTAATATATCTTTATGTGTATCTTTGAATACATATACATTTTATATACATATTTATATTTTATATATATATTTATGTATACCCATCTTTACATACATAATTAAGTATATCCCTTTACTTATACATATCTTTATATATGTACATATATACTTTTATGTGTATATGCTTTTATATGTGTATGTGTATATAGATTCACTTTTATATATACACATGTATATATCTTTGTATGTGTGTATAAATTTATGTGCACTGACGCCTTTTTGTGTATATACCTTTATTTACATTATAAATATATATACACACAAAGTTATATATACATGTGTATGTATCTTTGTGTAGGTATGTACATGTCTTTATATATGTTTACATCTTTATATATCTATATACAGCTTTTATATATGTATACACACTTACATAAGTACATATTTTATATATCTGTAGATGTATATTTTATTTAATTTCTTTCCTTCTTTTTTTGACCTGAAGTCTTGCTCTGTCACCCAGGCTGGAATACAGTGGCACAGTCTCTCCTCACTGCAACCTCTGCCTCTCAGGTTCAAGTGATTCTCTTGCCTCAGCCTCCTGAGTAGCTGGGATGACAGGCGCCCTCCACCATGCCTGGCTAATATTTGTATTTTTAGTAGAGATAGGATTTCACCATGTTGGCCAGGCTGGTCTCGAACTTGTGTCCTCAAGTGATCCACCCACTTTGGCCTCCCAAAGTGCTGGGATTGCAGGCGTGATCCACCACAGCTGGTCTATATGTGTATCTTTTAATATATCTTCATGTACATATACATTTTATATGCATTTTGATATTTGTGTACATTATGTAAATGTATGTTTTATACATATATAAATATTATATATGTACATATATACCTTTATGTACATGTGCTTTTATATAGGTATATGTATATTTATACAAACTTATGTCTTTATGTGCATATCTTTATATAGAGATATATGTATATATCCGTATATAGTCTTTATATATGTGTAAATATATAAGTATATATTTTATGTGTATATATGCATTCTTTGTACATGCACACATTTGTTCATATCTTTTAATATTTGTATGCATATATAGCTTACATGTTTCTATATTATAGATACATATGTACCTTCATATATGTATGCATACTTTTTTATATATGTGTATATATGTCCCTTTACATATGTGTATATATACTTTTAGGTATATGTGTGTGTGTGTATATACACCTTTATATGTGTACATATATCTTTATGCACACAGACATATGTAAAACCTTCTAATATAAAGTTTTCTCTGTAATTGGAGGTGAATGTCTACCAAGAATCTTTCATATGGAAATGCGGACAATAGGAGGCAGAGATGCATGCAACACTGGGCTGAAGAGTGTGACGTTTGAGGCTTTAGTTTCAAGCACATGAGGTTTCTGGTGTGTTTAGTTCTGCAGCTCTCCTTTAGAAGACATAAAGGACTTGTCCTAGATATTTTGCAGAGCTGGGCATGTATCCTTCAGACACCCTGATTGCATCCAGTCATCTATTCTGCCACGTTTGCTTGCAGTAAATAAGGAGCATTGTCTTGGAATTTATGACATTTACAATCAGGAATAAACGAAAAATAACTAGTTATTTTTGAGAAGAGAAACTAAGATATTTGTGATTGAGACCATCTTCTGGAAGGTCCTTCTAATCCTGCCTCCCTGTGGCTGTTCTCATATCGGTTTCTCAGCAGGAAGAGGGTTAGCCTGCAGGAATTTGGAGTTGGCAGAGTAAGTGTTTGTTCTGTGATGGCAAAGTGTGTTTTATAGCCCGAGCTCAGTGTTGGCTTGAGTTTTCCCACTCCCCAATGCTGATCACTCTTTGGAGCTCTCTTGGGAATGACACAGTCACTCGACTCCCAATGAGCTGGACAGACCACCTGCAGGAAATTCCATGCTCGGATCCCTCAACATCCTTCAACTCTACCTTCTCTAACAGGAGGCGGCAGCGGTGGTTACTCCAGTTATGACACCGGCGACACACACGGTACCCCCACATCTGGGCACGCGGTGGTGGGCGGAGGGTGGGAGGGGTTATCTCTCTGGGATCCCGGTTGCATTCTGCCCTGGGCCTTCTACCTGGAGTTTTTGGTGAGTGGGATGCTCTGTGCTGGTGCCTGGTCTTCTGAGAACCTATTTGTGCTGAGCTGTCCAGTTTCTGTTCCCCAGGATGGTGGGTGCAGCCACACACACACACACGCCACATACACACACACACACACACATACACGTACACTTACATGCACACACCACATACACACACAACACACATACATGCACACATACACACACACACATACACACACACCTCTGTTTAGGTAAACATAAACAGCAAAGAAGTATACAACAGATTAGAGAGAGAGAGCATCCAACGAACGGAAATCCAACGAACGGGAAATTCTTTAGGGGTGCAGCTCACTTACATCAAACACAATAGAAAACACCTACTTTTCTTTTTTTTGAGACAGCGTTTCGCTCTTGTTACCCAGGCTGCAGTGCAATGGTGTGATCTCGGCTCACCACAACCTCCGCCTCCTGGGTTCAGGCAATTCTCCTGCCTCAGCCTCCCCCGAGTGGCTGTGACTATAGGCACGCGCCACCATGCCCAGCTAATTTTTCTATTTTTAGTAGAGACGGGATTTCACCTCCTTGGACCGGGATGGTCTCGATCTCTTGACCTCGTGATCCACCCACCTCGGCCTCCCAAAGTGCTGGGATTACAGGCATGAGCCACCACAACCGGACTCTTTTTTTTTTTTTCTCTTGCCCACACTGGAGTGCAGTGACGTGATCTCAGCTCACTACATCCTCCGCCTCCTGGGTTCAAACAATTCTCCTGCCTCAGCCTCCCAAGTAACTGGGACTACAGGTGTACGCCATCATGCCCAGCTACTTTTTGTATTTTTATTAGAGACGGGGTTCCACCATACTGGTCAGGCTGGTCTCACGTTCCTGACCTCAGGCAAGCCACCCGCCTCGGCCTCTCGAAGTGCTAGATTACAGGCGTGAGTCACTGGGCCCAGCACTAAACCGTGGTTTCTCATGGTGTAGCTAATTTGTTAGTCCTACAAAGGCAGATAGGTCCCCAGGCAAGGGGCAGGTGTTTTCAGGAAAAGGCTATTGTCAGTTTTGTTTCAGAGTCAAACCATAAACTAAATTTTCTCCTAAAGTTAGTATGGCCTATGCCCAGCAATGAACAAGGACAGCTTAAGGGTTACAAGCAACATGGAGTCGGTCAGGTCTTCTAACCTCTCTCACTGTCATCACTGCCTCGGTTATGATATTTGCAAAGGTGGTTTTGCCATGTTGCTCAGGCTGGTCTTGAACCAGGCTTCAGTGATCTTCCCACTTGGCCTCCCTAAGTGCTGGAATTACAGGCCTGCACCACCACATCCGGCCCACCTTGGAGTGTGTTATATGAAGTGAGCTGTCCCCACATCCCTACAGCCTAGGAATGAACCTTCTGTGGAAATCCACTGTCTGTGAGGAGCTGTTCAGGACATGTACTTTTGTTCTCTGGCATACTCATGAATTAGAAAGAAATCACTCATCAAGCGGTTCTCCTGAGAGTCCTAATCATTTCCTGTTTTCCTGTGAACTTAGTCTCCGATGTCTGCGCTGTGCCATTTTTGGGGAGACCATTATCTGGGTCCCGAATGGATCAAAACATACAGGTCAGGGTGCTGCTCTATCCCTGGGGCAAAACTGAAGGGAAATGTCCCTGTGCTCCTTGGCAGGGCCAGGACATGATGCCCGTGCTTCTCTTTCGGCCGGGACACCTGCTCTCCAGCCCCCACAGAGCGAGGCTCTGAGTCAGCGCTGGGATTAGCATTAGCAGGAGGTACCTGCTGGGACGCAGGCGGCTGCCAGGGATGAGTCACCCAGCTGCTCCTCAGATGCAGCAGCAAAGCATGCAAGGCCTGTTCATGCCTCGTCCAGAGCAGTGAGGGGTGAGAGCTGACCTTGGCTGGCCTCCCTCCAGAGAGTGGGGAGAACATGTTTCACTCGCTGTTTTTAAATGCTAATGGCCAGGTTTCTCTCATACCCGCTGTTTTAGTCCGCTAAGGCCGCCCTACAAAGTAGTACGTACGGTCTGGAGTGCTGAAACCAAAGGGGCTTCATCTCCCACCATCCTGGAGGCTGGAGGTCTGAGATCCAGGTGTGGGCAGGGCTGGCTCCTCCTGAGGCCTCGCTCTTGAGCTTGTAGACACCGTCTTCTCCCTGTGCCCTCACTGGGTTGTCCCTCTGTGTCTGTGTTTTCACCTCCTCTTCTGTTGATATCTCTTAGTCCATTTCAGGCTGCTGTCACAGAACACCATAGACTGGGTGGCTTAGAAACAGCAGACGTTGATTCTCCCACAGTCCTGGAGGCTGGAGGTCTGAGATCCAGGTATGGGCAGGGCTGGTCCCTCCTGAGGCCTCTCTCCTGGGCTTGGAGACATGGTCTTCTCCCCGTGTCCTCACCGGGCCATCGTGTGCCTGTGTCCTCACCTCGTCTTCTCATAAGGACTATCGTCCTTTGGAGCAGGGCCCACCCTAGTGACCTCGTTCTACTTTAATCACCTCTTTAAATACCTTGTCTTCAAACACAGTCACAGTCCTGATCCCCTGGGGGATAGCACTCACTCTGAATTTGGAGGGGGACACAGTTCAGCCCATAGAACCCACCATCCATATAAGTCATTCCACTTCAAAATCAGCACAAAGCATTTTTTTCTATCTGTATTTTAGAAATTGCTTTTAACACATTAGAAAAATAAAGAAGAACTTTTTTGTTGTTGTTTTTTCTGAGACAAACTCTCACTCTATCCCAGCCCGGAGTGCAAGGACGTGATCATAAATCACTGCAGCCTCCACCTCCTGGACTCAAGCAATCCTTCTGCCTCAGCCTCCCAAGTAGCCGAGACTACAGGTGCACATCCCCACATCCAGCTAATTTTTTTTATTTCTGTTTAGTAGAAATGGGGTCTTCTCTGTGTTTCTCAGGCCGGACTCCAACTGAGCTCAAGTGGTCTTACAGCCATGGCATCCCAAAGTGGGAGGATTACAGGTGTGAGTCACCACACCCTACCCGGAGAAACTCTTTTTTGTGTGTGTGGATTTTCACTCTTGTTGCCCAGGCTGGACTGCCGTGGAACGATCTCAGCTCACTGCAACCTCTGCCTCTCAGGTTCAAGCGATTTGCCTGGTTCAGCCTCCCGAGTAGCTGGGCTGGGATTACAGGCGCCCACTACCATGCTTGGCTAAGTTTTGGTATTTTTAGTAGAGATGAGGTTCCACCATGTTGGCCAGGCTGGTCTCGAACTGCTGACCTCAGGTGATCCAGCCATCTCGGCCTCCGAAAATGCTGGGATTATAGGCGTGAGCCACCGCACCCAGTGAGCAACTCTTTTTTTAATGGGCTTTGATTACCATTTGTGGCCTGCGGTTTCACCCTATTGTTTTTTTTTTTTAACAAATTTGCTGGCTTTTTGTCTTTTGAATGTCCAAGAAAACACCTTTTCCCATCTACGTGAGGCCCCCAGACCCTCAGGGATGCACATCTAATGCAGCTTCCGCCACCAGGCTCGTGAACAGTAAACAGGGGCGAGACGACACCTGCACTCCTCCCCTGCCCTGGAGAGCCCATAGGAGTGTCTGCAGCCTTTCAAACCATGTCACTCAGGTTTGCTGACCCGTTTGCTTCTGTGAGGTCATGTGGACTTCTCGGCCATGGTCTCTTTTCTACGCTGAAGAAAGTGAGCTGTAGAGTCAACTCTCTTTATGGAAATACTGATGGTGAAGGAATGATGTCTTACAGAATGTGGCAAAACTGTCCATTTGTGAATAAGGAATACACTGTCTGGGTGCTGATGGGAAGCTGGCGCTTTTATCCAGTGCACAACAGCCAACTGGCCATCCGGGACCAATGTGCATCTTCCTTTGGCATCCATGCTGGGGGAGATGCTGTGCATGCCATGAAGACTTAGCTTCTTGAAAGGAACCATGGCCCACTTATAAGTGTTATTGGGTGCATGTATGTGCACGTGTGTGTATGTATGCATGTGTGTTTGCGCAAGGTATGTGTGTGTATTGTGTATACATGAACGTCCACGTGTGCATGTGGATTTTGTAATCATGTGTGTAAATGATGTGGATGAGTGCATGTGTGGAAGTGTCTGTGCACACAGGCAGATTGAGTGCCTGCATGTTTGTATAAGTTGCTTGGGTCACATATGTATTGCCTGTTTCCCATGTGTGTCCATGTGCATGCATTGAGGGGTGTGCTACCACATGAACACGTGGGTACTGCATGAATATAACATATGCATATGTGCATGTGGAGTGTACGTATACATGCATAAGTACAGGTATGCGCATACAGACGGATGTGTTTATGTGTGCATATTTGTGTGTGAATGAATGTGTTTATGTGTTTCTGCATACAGGTGCACACATCGGGATGTGCATATGCACACGTGTCTACAGGTGTATGTTTAGGTAAATCATGCTTTATATGTGCTTATGTTGCCTGTGTGTGTGTATGCATATGTGTGTTTGTGCGTATGTGTGGGTATGTGCGTGTGTGTGAATGTGTGCACTGAATGCATGTGTGCTTCTGTGTTGCATTTGCTTTTATGTGTTGCACGGGTGTAAATGTGTGTGTGTATGCACGTCTATATGTGTGCTTGCCTGCCTTTGTTACATGCTACATGGTGTATGCACCTGCACACACATTTGTGCATGTCAGTGTGTGTTGCCCGTGCGTGTGTGTATCAACGGCATGTGTGCGTGTGCATGTGTGTCAGTGAGCTTGTCCGCCTGTGTGTGTTTCACATAGGCATGTACATAGACTCCCAGACCCTGAAATAAAAGCTGGTCTCCCTCTCCCTGGTATCATCCCCATTGCGCTAATGACTGTTAGACAAAGCACACACATTCACCTTCCTCCACCTCATGCTGCTTGGCTGTCCCCTCCCCCAACAAGACTGTAAATTCCCTGAAAATAGGTATGTGTGTGCTGTGCCGGAGTCGCATTCTCAACAGGGCCGGGCAATAGAAGGCACTGCATAAGCTCTGCTGAATAAACACGAGTGTCCTTTTCCGTTTACAGGTGGAGATCACCATTTGGGGCATGCCTCCTCAGAAGGTAACTGATCGACTCACCTGGTCCCAACCTTTAAGCCTCCCAACCCCACGGCTTCCGTGGATCACTCACACTTCCTATGTATGTACAGTAGCCTCTTAACAAAAACGTCTGAGCATCTTTGTTCAGAGGCTACTTGACACACACACGCAACCCATCAGAGTTCAAAGAAGGGGCAAGCATTGGTATTCACTGCAGAAGAGGCCTCCTCGCTCTCAGAGCAAGACCGTGAGTGCTGAGACTGCTGGATTTCTCCCGGTACCGCCATTACTCTCCTTTCACCAGCGCTAACTTGAAACCCAAGCACGACAGGAGAAAGGAAGTTATGAACGCTCTGCCCAAAGAAGTCCTCAGAGTGCACCATCAACCCCATGTCAGGTCACAGGAGGGAGAACTGTAAGAGCAGGGGCTGATTGTATCCTGTGTGGCTGGGAGAACAGGCTCCTCATTCCCTGAGTCTGACTTAGAGATCTGGGCTGACACCTGCTTGAGTTTAAGCTGAGTTGACGGTAAATATCTTGTGAGTTTTCAGTTATGGGGGAGGAGACAGTGATTGAAGGTGACCTCTACATTTCAATGCAGAGTACCAGGATCAATGTTTTTGGGTATGCTGGCATCCTTAGAGAAATTCATTGATTCTCCTTTTCCCCTCTGTGGTGTAAAGTGACGTTCAGAGATGGAAAGGGCTAGGCAAATGAACAAGCGATCGCAGCCAACTCTGACAAATAATGTTCTGGAACATACGTGATCCTGTAGACTGGGTCAGGTGACCGAGGTAGGGCTTCCTGGACAGAACAATATCCAAGTCGAAGCCCAAAATATGGGTTGGGGGGTGCCCAGGAGCAGAGCGAGGTGGCAGGGAAGAGAGTGTGCTGGGTAGAGCTGGATTCGCACGTGGGAACACCAGAAATTGTGTAGCCGGGTGTGGGATGCAACAGGAACCAGGGAAGGATGCAGTGGTGACTGGGGAAGATGGCCAGGTTAGCGGAGGTGGACTCTGCCGCTTCATAGAACCTTCAAAGGAAGGAGTCTGCCTGCCCCTGTTGCTGTGTGGGTGAAGAATGGATCTGAGGGGGCGCCCTAAGACCCAGGGAGACCCCCTTTCAGAGCACTTCAGCACTCCCTGGAAATGACAACAGGCTGAAATCAAGCCCAGGTGAGGGAGGAGAAGAGAAGCGGTCAGCTTGGATGACCACTTGGTAATGACAAGTGATTGTCCTTGATTGATTTGTAAGAGATGGCAAAGAGGAAAAGGCGTGAATCAGTCAGTTATGCTGTGTTACAAAAGACCCCAAAACATAGTGGCTAGAAATAACAACCATTTGTTATGTTTATGATTACGTGAGCCAGCAATTTGGGCTAAAACCCATCTAGTGCTCCTTCTGTCTCTTCTGAGCTCCCTCTTGTCTGCAGTCAACTGTAGGCATGGCCAGCGCTTTGAAGATGTTTTCTGGGTCTTGTTAATGTATCTGGGGCCCTAGGTGGAATGGCTCATCTCAGCTTTCATGTGGGTTCTGACATCCCTCCAGGAAGCCAGGCCAGGTTTCATCACATGGTGACCAGGCAGAATACCAACATCACGAAGAGAACCGTGCCTGGGCTTAGAGCCATCACGTCTTCACTTCTGTGGCACTCTGTTGGCTAAAGCCTGGATTCTCAGAATAAAGATGCGGTCCTCCTCTGGATGGGAAACACTGTGAAGTCATATTGTGCAGTGTGTGCACACAGGGAGGGGAGGAATACAGGGCTATCTCTCGCAGGAGGCAGGAGGCGGCAGGTGGCAGCACCAGCTGTAGAGCAGCTTCTTGCATTCAGTGACAATACTCTTTCCCCCAGCATGGCAGCCTCATTCATTGGAGCAGCCTCGTGTCCCTCAGCTGTGTCATGCCACGTAGCAGCCCAGGTGTTCAACCCGGTCTGAAGAAAGGCATGCATGGAAAGGTGGCTATTTCAAATGGAAACAGTGATTTCTTCCTTTTTTACCCTATGGAAGTGTCAATTTTTGTCGTTCTTGTTCTTTGTGCAGGAGTACCGAAGGTCTGGGATGATTTGCCGTCGAGGCATTGAAGATGCATAGTCTGGTGTGTGGTTGGGTCTAGAGTTCCCGCATGCCTTTGAAAGTGGGCCTATCTGGCGGTTTTTAATTGAACAATATTTTTGCATGAGTAAACATTCTACATCTAAAAGGACACAAAATAGTTTTGACGCATGCCTATCACCCCAGCTACTCAGGAGGTGAAGGCATGAGGATCACTTGAGCCCAGGAGTTCAAGACCAGCTTAGGCAGCATGGTGAGAGCCCATCTCTAAAAAAATAAAGAAATCAGGCCTGTAATCCCAGCACTTTGGGAAGCTGAGGCGGTGAATCACTTGAGATCAGGAGTTTGAGACCAGCCTGGCCAACATGGTGAAATCCTGTCTCTACTAAAAATACAAAAATTAGCCAGGTGCAGTGGCACACATCTGTAATCCCAGCTACTCAGGAGGCTGAGGCAGAAAATTGCTTGAGCTCAGAAGGTAGAGGTTGCAGGGAGCCAAGATCATGCCACTATATTCCGGAATAAGTGACAGACTGGGACTCTGTCTCAAAATAAGAATAATAACAAATAAATACATCAAATTAATAAAACTGTACACACGAATTCAACAAACAAACAAAAATGCCGAGTGCCTCCTCTGCAAATCCTGGCCTTGGATGTCTTCAGTGGTAAAATGTGGTTGACAAGCTTGGCTCTTTGTGAAAACAGAATTACTTTCTAAGTTTTTTTCTCTCTTTTGCTTATTTTTTAAAATGAAATTTCTCTTGTTTTCTGTGGACACAGGGGTGGGAAGAGATATGATGGAGAAGTTGTTAGATCGATGCAACAGTGATTGGAATTTTTGCTATTACTTTCAATGGCAAAAACCACAATAACTTGCACCAATCTAGTATTTAAGCAGTATTCCTGCCTGCCATGTTTTTTCTCAGGTGAGCTTGCCTTTTCTCCACTCCTGGGCGGCAAAAATCGTGTCTCCCATTGTATCCGTGGTGGTGGTGACACTGCTGGGAGCAGCAGCCAGTTATTTCAGACTCAACAGTAGGAGGAATTGTTTCAGGACCCGTGGTAAGTCTTGCTCTAAACCTTGTTTTCCTTGTTATTAAGCCTGATTTAAAGAAAATTATTTTCTGATTTCTGTCACTAGTAAGGTTATTTCTGGTTAAGTTCAATATACATAACTTGACTGATGTGTTTTTTAAACATTTATTTTCAGTTTTCTTGAGTTGGAGTTTCACTTTGTTGCCCAGGCTGGAGTGCAGTGGCACAATCTCAGGTCACTGCAACCTCCACTTTGCAGGTTGACAAGATTCTCCTGCCTCAGCCTCCCAAAGAGGTGGAACTATAGGCTCACCACGTGCGTCACCACGCCTGGCTAATTTTTGTATTTTTAGTAGAGAGGTGGTTTCACCATGTTGGCCAGGCTCTTCTTGAACTCCTGACCTCAAGTAGTGATCTGCCCTCCCCGGCCTCCCAAAGTGCTGGGATCATGAGCATGAGCCACTGTGCCCAGCTGACGATTGGGTTTTCATGGTCATATGTGAGTTG